TCCATCTTTTTTTTTTTTTTTTTTTTTTGGTTTTTCGAGAGAGGGTTTCTCTGTGTAGCCTTGGTTGTCCTGGATCTCCCTCTGTAGACCAGGCTGGTCTTGAACTCACAGAGACCCACCTGTCTCTGCCTCCTAAATGCTGAGATTAAAGGTGTGCACCACCGCCTGGCTGACATCCATCCTTTCTATCCAAGTGCTCAGAAACTCCATCATGCACACAGGGTCCTACCCAAAACCCTCCTCCCCGTCAGTCCTCCAGTCCCCCACCTCCTCACCCCCTCTGCTCCCAAGCCCCATAGTCAGTCTCCCTCACATCCAGAGAGCTCTTGCTCCCAGCTTCTCCCACCCACATACTGGCCTAGACTTGGGAGTCCCAGTGCCAACCTGACATCCTGTCCCAGCTTCGAGACCTGGGGCAGGGTGTTCCACATCTCTGGACCTTCAAATTATGAAAACCATAATCCCTGTAAATCCTTTGAGGAGCTTTCTGGAAACTCTGTATTGAACACCTACCATGTGTCACACAACTGCTTAGGACTCGTCCCACTCCCATAAGGAACATCCCATGTTCCCATTCTACAGATGACAGCCTGGCAAGATGGCGCAGTGGGTTCGAGTGCTTGTTTAGAAACCTGACAACCGGGGCTGGAGAGATGGCTCATCGGTTAAGAGCACTGACTGCTCTTCCAGAGGTCCTGAGTTCAGTTCCCAGCAACCACATGGTGGCTCACAACTATCTGTAATGAGATCAGGTGCCCTCTTCTGGCCTGCAGGCAGAACACTGTATACATCTAAATAAAGAAGAATAAATTGCCGGGCGGTGGTGGCGCATGCCTGTAATCCCAGCACTTGGGAGGCAGAGGCAGGTGGATCTCTGTGAGTTCGAGGCCAGCCTGGTCTATAGAGCTAGGCCAGGACAGGCTCCAAAGCTACAGAGAAACCCTGTCTCAAAATACCAAAAAAAAAAAAAAAAAAAAAAAAAAGAAAGAAAGAAAGAAACCCGACAGCCATAGCTCCATGTCCAGACTGGTTTGATGTCCATACATTCCTAGAACCCACAGTGAAAACCCACAGTGAAAGGAAAGGGGAGCTCCAACTCTAAAGTTGCCCTCTGACCACACACACACACACACACACACACACACACACACACACACACACTTTTTAAAATACTAATCATGAATTAGCACATGACCTAATAATTCCGTGTGGAGAAGCATAACTCAAAGAATTCAAGGAAGAGACCTTTGAAGTTGTACCCATGCTCACAGAAGCACTACCCGTAATCACTGTCCACTAGTAAATGAAATGACAGATGAAATACGGGACATCCACACAGTGGAACACCATTCAGCCTTGACGGGGAAAGGCGTTTGAACACATGGCGCATGGATGAACTCCATGCTTTCTACACGAAATAAGCCAGACACAAAGGGACAAACACTGGAGGGACCTCCCATGGTCAGGTTCACAGAAAAGAAGGTAAAATGGGGACTGTGGGGAGCCAGATGCAGCGGAAGGGACCTTTGCAATACAAGGGCGTTGCTGGACTGAGCACTCACGAATGGGCCGTGGTAAATCCCGAACTAACCATGTGTTATCACAGCAACAATCAACTGAGGGTAGGGCACGGTATATGCCGTGTGGGCAAGAGGATCAGGAGTTCAAGGCTAGTCTCAGCTATGTAGCAAGCTTGAGGCCAGCCTGGGCAACATGAGACAGTCTTAGGAAGCCAAAAATAAAAATGAAATGAAACCTGATAGATTGAAAGTCTACCAATCTCTGAAACCCAACGATGCCTCAGGACTTCCAGTTGGCCCTCTGGTCCTGTTTAGCAATGGGGTCCCCCACCCAACCTAGACCCACCCCAATTACCAGCTACCACTCAGCTTACAAGGGCCCCAGCTCCCCCAGACCTCCTCAGATTCCAGGTGTCCCATCACCCAAAATCTACACACATGAACCTCTTGAGGTCCACTTAGTCTCCCTGGAAACCCAGCATCCTGTGCTTCTCCAAGCAGGTACCAGCCCTGAGCAGGGCCCAGCCTGCCCTGACTCAGGCCTCTCTGCCTAGCTCCTGGGGCCATGTTTATTTTCTCAGCGTGTCCATGGCCTGGTTTCCGCCTTGCCCACAGGAAGGGAATGCTTTCAAGAAACTCGAGGTTATTAATGTGGTTTCTTTTGTTGTATGCCATCGCAAAGGCAGAGAACGAGGGTTTATTTTCCTAACGTGCTTGGCATAGCTCAGCATTTGATTCCGGAGGAACTCGAGACCCTGGTTTGTTCTGAGTCACTAGTGAAGCCGCAGCCTGCGAAGCCAGTTCTGGGGGGAGCAAGAGCTTGCAACATCATTGGCAGACATGGGCTGGATCTACCGGTGGCTTTTAAAAAACAAAACAAAAGGATTTTAGTCTGTTGTTTGGTTGATTCGTTTGGCTCGGTTTTTTTAATTGGCAGGATGAAACCAGGGGCTCTCACTCATTTGTCCCCCAATGACTGTACTTTTCTATTGGGGGCATCCCCACTCTGCAGAAGCCCCAGGAAGATTGGCTTTCGAGAGTATCTGTGCCCTGGAGGTGGCAAGGGCCCAGGGTTGCAGAGTTCACAGCACAGCCTATGACCCACATGTGCTGCCCTGGGGGTGACTCTGGTACCCAAGGTCTGTCTGCTTTCCTTCCTCCCTCCCTCCCTTCCTCCCTCCTTCCTGTGTTGGGGATGGAACCAGGGCCTTGTGCACACTGGGCCTCTAAGCTCCTCCCTCAACTGGTACCCTCTTTTCACCGGTTCGAGCAGGGGCTGAGTGATTTTGTGAGCCTGGCCTTGGATCTCCCACCTGACTCCACATGCAGCACGTCCTGTGTCCTCAGAAAGCCCAGTGTGCAAGAAGCTGCACCCCAAGAAAAGCCTGGCAGTTCTCACAGATGTCCAGGATGCCGGGTGCCAGATCCTGAGGCTCCAGGGGACCCCACTACTCACCCAGCTGCCAATGGCACCATCTGGGCACTCACACCCTAGCTGACACTTGCAATCTGGGATTCCCCAGGGGGAAAACATCCATCTGGGGACCTTGTAGGCCAGTGGTTCTCAACCTTCCTAACACTGTGACCCCCCCCACACCATAAAATTATTTTGTTGCTACTTCATAACTTTTGCTGCTGTTATGAATTGTAATGTAAATACTCTTTGGAGATTAGCCTCTGTTGTAGGCTACATGACAAAGAAATCAGACCTTGTACCGTCTGTCCCCTACCAGGGCCGGCACCTCCGTCCTCCTCCATCAGAACGCCAGTGTTCTCTCTTTCGTCTTCCTCTGCCAATCCCTTCCTTCTTCCCCATCACCTTGATTTTATTTTCCCTCTGTCCTGCCCCACAGCCTCAGTCACCAAGGTGAAACCAGAGAACACTGGGCACATCACACCTCACTTTACCTCTGGCCGGAACTGGCCCCTTTCCCTCCATTTCGCCATCAAGGATCTACAGCTGGCTCCCTGGGCTGTCAGCTCCCTCATCATCCATCACCCAACACCCGAGGGAGGAGGGCAGCCAGGCCCCTGCAAATGGTGGGAAGTGGTCACCAGCATGGAGGGCAGAGGCCTCCCCGGGGGTGAGGAGCATGCATGACTGCCCGCCCGGGAATGCCGCAGTGGATGTTATCAGATGGTGTTCTGTGGATGTCCCAGGACACACATGCTCCCAGCCGAGGTTTCAGACAGTGCCACTGTCCTCTCTCTTGTCTGAAAGCAGAGGCTCCCAGCCTGCCTGAGTACCCCTCCGACCCTGAGACGAGTACAGGAAGTGGAGTGTTTAGGGTGGGTGGGAAGGTGGCCGGATACCAAGTCCTCTTTGGTCACACACTGTTTGGGGATCTAGTCAGGTGTCTCAGCACATCCAGCAGGACAGGAAAGTCTCAGAGGTAGGGGACAGAGGTGGGAGCCTCAGACACCCCTCCCCAGCACCTAGGTGATTTTGACTCTGGCCATCCCCCCCTGCCCTGCTCCTCACCAAAACTGTCCACACTGGGACTTTTGTATCATTAGAATCCTTCACGCCTCGTCTCCCCTCCGCCAAGCCTATCCCCACATCTTTATTTCCCACCAACTTCTCCCTCTTTTTTGAAAAGCTGAGCTGAGGATTCTACAATCCTGTGTGATGTGGTGTGTGTGTGTGTGTGTGTGTGTGTGTGTGTGTGTTGGGGGGGGGCTATTTGGGTGGACTGTTTGTTTTTAAAGCCCTTTCCAGATGACCTTTAATCTTTGCAGGGGATGCAGGCCTAACCGAGAGCTCCTCCCCCCGGAACCGAAGGGTGTGGTTGTGCAGGCATGCCCACCCCACAAACCCTAAGACCTGTCTTAGCTAGAAGGGGCTGAGCCGAGTTTGACTTAGTGGATTGGCCCTCCCACAGCCTCAGTTTCCCCAACACCAGCTTCTGAGGGCAGGTGGGTATGGGATGCAAGGGTGGCCAGCTTTCCTAAAGTCACAAGACGGTAAGCGGATCTGGTCTCCTCCTGGTCTCCTCCCGAAGGAGAGGCTTTGGAGACAACAGCAGCTCACCACTGAGCAGTACGTTCTGGAACTATGGCTCCCGCTGTGGACAAGCCAGTTCTCCAGTGCCCACCGCAGGGATCCCGCAGCTAATGGGTTCCTGTAGCTGGGGTCCACAGCCACAGTCTTGCAAATTGTGTGTCCCACACCCCAGTTCTACAACCGGGGTCCTGCAGCTCAAAGATCCTGTAAGCCACGGGTCTCTGTAGCTGGGATCTCGCCGCTGGGGTGGGGGGCTAGGGGTCCCAGCATCCGCGGATCCCACAGCCATAGTCTCATAAGCCAAAGATCCCGCAGCCAACGAGTCCCTCCGCCCTGTCGGGAGAGTCCCGCAGCCCAGGGATCCCGCAGCCTGTGAGCCCCACAGCCCGAGGTTCTCAGTGAAGGGATCCCAGCAAGCCCTAGTCCCGCAGCCCAAGTCCCGCCGCCCCGGCCCGGTTCCCACGCCGCACACTCACCGTCCTGCGGCGCCGCCTCGCTGCCGCTGCTGCCCCCGGA